CAGAGGAGGGCTTCGGATTCCCCTGGAACTGGAGTTAAGGACAGTTTGTAGCTGCCATGTGGGTGCTGAGAATCGAACCCTGGTCCTCTGCAAGAGCAGTCAGTGCTCTTAACTGCTGAACCGTCTCTCCAGCCCCAGCATAACCATATTTTTATGAGCCCAACTTCTGACCTACTGTACAATTTGCTTTGCTCCTGAGCAAGCTCTCACGGGTTTCTTTCTTGCACCTGTTGGGTTGTTTCTGCCCTCCTTCCAGTTGTTCATGATTACTGTGAAGTGAGATTTGGCCTTGAGTTTGCCATCTCTCCCATCCTGACTGGTATCCCTGCAGATGAATAAGATTATGTTCATCACTCCGTTCCTTAAGGAAAACACCAGGTGGATATGTTGTGGGAATCAGTCTCTTTCACTAGTTTCCCATCATTTAAAATAGTTTCATATTTTCACTTAGTTAAATTACATCAGTTAAAAACAATTAAGTGTGAGCTTTATAGAGAACTGGATTTATTTTGTTTTATCAGGCTGTCTGTGAAGGTTTCCTCAGAATTTTGACCTGCATAAGCTGTCCCTAGAATCCTGTTGTATTGAACAGTCCAGACCACCCTGAACTATCAGGGGCCTTTGCATCTCACTGTATCATGACTCTGAATAGGCTTCTGTTTGATCATTCTTCTGTTTGTTTTTTAAGATATGAACAAGCTGAACATTTTAAGAAAAGATCCTTTATAATTCGTCAGCAAGCCACAAGGAGAAAAGGCAGCTTGGTAATGAGAGATTCCTTTCCTGTTGTAGTTTGAACCTGAGGAGAAAGTCATCTCTAAATATCACTAAGTGCAAAAACTTCGTGTTTCATAGCTTCAGATTTTAAAATGACTCCCAAAAAGATGCTGTTTAATGTTTTCTTCTTTATGAAACATGGTTAAAGAATGATATTGTTGAGAAGTACAACTTAGCAGACTGCAGAAAGTGGGGTTATAAAGCTCGCTTGAGGTGGGACTTAGGAAGATGCCATCTAAAGCTCTTGATTTTTTTTTAAATAAGAGTTTAATTAGCATTTCCTGTTAAGAGTCAGATGTGAAGGACTTCTTCCCCTTGAGCAAACACAAAAGTTTTAATTTTTCTAAGTTGCTGATAAAATATAACATTTTTTTTTGTCTTTTTGAGACAGGGTCTCCCTGTAGCCCCAGCTGGCCTGAACTCCATATGTAGACCAGGCTAGCCTTGAACTCAACAGATATCTGCCTGCCTCTGCCTCCTGAGTGTTAGATATAACATTTTTAGCTTGTACTTACTCTATACATGGGACAGAGAAATGAGCTCAGGTGAAATCATGTTTGTTGTACAAACATGAGGACCTAAGTTTGATCTCAAGCACCTACATGAAAAAAGCCAGGCATGGTGGCTCACTTGCAGTCCCAGTACTGGGGCGGGAAGACAGGGGGATACATGGGGCTGGCAACCAGTCGGTTTAGCCTAAGCAGGTGAGCTCTGGGTCCCAGTGAAAGACCGTCTCTAAAAATGAGGAAGACGGCAACTGAGGAACAATGCCTGAAGCTGGTATCTGGCCTCCCCATGTACATGCACACACATGCAAATGTCTGCCACATGCACATCTACACACATGCAAATGCCCTCCATGCACAAAAGTTTTAAAATGAACAAAAATAAAACATTCTATACACGAGGACCTGGTATTTATGTATTTAGCATGGAACTGGTAAATATCAGCAAGGTAATTGTTTCCTCGTCTGTTTGAAGTACTGTTTGAAGTACAATGTGAGATACACATTGTAAACATACTTCATATGTGTCATCTGGAGTAAAAAGAAAAAGCATTTTTTAGGATGCTTCCAGAACCCAGGTACTCAGTGACTGTGCTTTTGTGTTTGCTGCAGTATGGATTTGCCCTCTTACGCAGGCGGGCACTACAGTTAGAAGAGCTTACCTTAGGTAAAGACAAGCCTGATAATGCTCCGACGCTCAATGAACTGGGGGTCCTCTACTATCTTCAGAATAACCTCGAGTAAGTACCATGGCATTCATAATAAGAAGGCGCTCCCATTTTTTCCCAAAGCTGTTTTACATGTCTATCACGTCCAAAATTAGAAGAAAAAAATGACTTAAAAACTTCCAGTTTCATATTTGATGTTAGCTTATGAACATTCACACCGTTAATGTCTTATTTTCTTTTACATTTCACATTGCTTCTGAACTAAAGTGATCCTGTAGCTAGTCCAACGTGTATGCTCTTAAGAAAAGTGAGTTCATGTGCACATTTTCCTTGAGACCTCACAGAAGAAATTTAAAACTGCAGAGATCCAGTAGAAGATTGTGGATAGCTGCTGGCTTTACCCCATAGTTTATTTGGACATAAAATACTTAAAACATTTGTACTTCTACTTTCTGAAAAATAAGTGCTTTGGGA